AACTTTTGTCAGCTGCTCATATGGCCTTGGTGAGAGCATGTTGCGCCGAACATCACCTGTTACGATCTTTCTGGGCTACTGCGAGGATCCTCGCGGCAGCGGACCAGATGGCTTACGAGTGCGGAACGGAGCGCATCCACTTCAGCCCGACGGTTCTCTTCCAAACGCGTTTGCATCGCTTTACGGCAACTTGGCTGCAGGTTGCTCAGATGTTCACTCCTCAGAGCTAGAACTGAAGCTGACCCAAGAGGTGTCCAACCCCGCCAAGATTGCGCTCCCGTTCAACTGGCGAATCCTCCCAGCGAATGGTGTGCCTTGTCTTTGGCAAGTACAGTTTTGCCAAGCTTAGGTGCCCAGTGACATCCTTCAGCATTCTAGTATTAGTATCATCCCCGGCTGTAGGACCCCTGATGCAAGCTGCCCACAAAGAATGGACCAGAACTTCAGACACAAAAACCAAAACAAATCTTTGTTGGCACGAGCCTATCACCATCAAGGCCTCGGCAGGGCTGCAAGCCTATTCTGTCACACCCTCGCAAGGCCAGGCTTTTGCATTGAGCATTTTTGGTGTCGGGCTCAGGAATCAGTGGACATGAGCTCCAAGGATGTATGGGGATTGTAAACCCCCACCCCCGCGGCTCATTGGGGAGAGGGCTCAACATGTCAATCTCATGAACGGGAAGCGTGGTCAAAAGCTTTGGATCCAAGCCCTCAAGCCTTGAGGTACGATTTCAGCGGGCAGCAGCCAGGAGTTCCAGATTCGCTTTGCGCCGAAAGAAGTGGATGACTTTGCTGGTTTGTTGGCCGTTTGGACGCACAATTCCAAAGAGCTGCCGGAGCATGACATGTCTCAACAAGTCAGATGGCTTCTTTCTGCAAATTGAAAAACTGCACATGGGAGTGCATTTGCAAAAGCCTTGGCAGTAAGGACAGCCGCATGCCTATCCAGGAGCTTCACAGCGCACCAGCGGTAACGCTTTTTAAAGTGGCTATTCGAAGCCGTTTGTGGTATGATGTCTATTCGTGGCCTTCCGATTGACTTCTGCTGTTCTACTGAAGTGATGATGAGAACAACAGATTGAAGTGCTTTATTTCCCCCTTTTTGCAATTGACCGCAAATTTCTCATTCTCGTGGGATGGCGGAGTTTGGGGGTGCTTCCAAGTCCGGCGAGGAGCCTCTCCGAATCCGCTTGCAAGCCTCCGCGCTGCGGCCGTGGTGTCACTTCGAGGCCATGAACCAGATCTCTGCAAGGGGGGGGTGGCTCATGGTCTCAGGCCTGCTACTGAAAGGTGAGCATGCGAAGCACGAGAGTGCTAGTGGGCTACACATAGAATAGAATCATAGATGGTCCAACGAGTAGGACCATGGCAAGCATGGGAGCGCAGGTCCCGATGAGCGACTACAGATCGCGGCGACAAGCGGAGACTCCTCTGGACCCAAAGTACCAGGCATGGGGGTCGACAGGGGAGAATTAAGCAGCGCTGTGTGGAGGCCGTGCTCTGAGAATCCTTTATTTCTGCGGCAGCTCATGTGCAGATACTTCTCATGTTTCCCACTGTGGTCATGCGCAGGTCTGAAGCATTGGAACGATTGACCGAATAAGGAGCCATTTTCTGCAGGTCATCGAGTTTGAGTCGCTGGGCACAAAGGTGCGGAACACGAAGCGATTTTATGCCCCATGGCTTTGAACCAGGCCTGCTGCGATCATGATTCTCATGGCCCATGCCTTTGAGGTCTTGAATCCCACGTCGGACACATATGAGTTCCACTGGATGCCTGAAGAGACAGAGAAGAAGGAAACGGAGGATCCCTTCCGCTGCCTCACAAAGCCGGTGCCCAAGAAAACGATCGCCCTGACTGCCTTGTCAGAAACGCTTTTTCTCAAGAGAAGAGCACCTCACTCCATCCTTTCGCGTTCTAGGCGTGGGACCATCCTGCCTGGCAAGAAGTTCGAGATGCTGTTTGAGTACTTGCCGGCAGCCTCTTTGCTAGCACATGGACATGGACTTGGTCATCTTTTTGCTACTTTTCTTGCGCTGCGTCATTTGCGCTCAGGATACAGAAGTCCACGAGTCCCGGTGGCTCTTCTCCGTGCCCGGCAAGCAGGCATCCCAGGCCTTCGTGCTGGTGGGGACTGTGAAGGAGCCTCGAATGGGCGTCTTGGCAAGATCAATGGTATTAACCGACGGGGATGCTTTTGAACAAGTTGAAATGGCTACATGGACAGAGAAAGGAATTTCGCAGGGCCCCCCCGCTTCCATGAATCAATTTGGCAGCTGCTGCATATAGTTTGCTGATCTATTCCATGCATGCCGTGTCCGTGAGCTCGTCTGCGTTGTGCTGAAGGCTTAGACCGGCCATGCATCAAGTTCAACCGCCTCTTGCTGGGCGGCAAAGCTATAGAGAAGGTGTGCATTGTCAACAAGGCCTGGCCTCAGGGAAGAGCATCATGGCCAAGTGGTGACGCAACTGGCATCACCGCCCAGGGGATTGTCGGTTTAAATGTTGGCCCCTCTGCCTGCCAAAGTTTGGAGAGCCAATTCCTGACCAGGAGCACCTGCCTTTCAGCTTTGCATTTGATCGCAAGAGCTATGAGACTGATGGGCCAGCAGCAATCTCCCTTTCCCCAGACTCGGGCGTGGTTGGTCCTGGCACCAGAAGCAGCAGTTAGGAGTTGCCTTGATACACTTTGCTTTGGGAGGGTTCTGAGGCATCGGCAGTGTGTGTGCGGACCGGATTCTCAGGTGCAAGCTTCCCCATTGAAGTGAAGTTTTCTCCAAACGAGGAACGATTCTTCAACTACAATGTGTCTTGGCTTAATCGCCCCCGCAGATGTTCCTCTGTCCAGGTTGGAGCGTGCTTTCCTGACTGGTGAGACAGGTCGTATGCAACATCAAGCGAAAAGAAAAGCCACTCCTCCTCAACATCAAGGGCGAAGGCAGTTGGGTTGTTCTGGTATGCCTGGTCTGCACGTCATGCCCTGTTCCCTTGCAGGGTACAAGATCCACACTAAGCTCGTCTTGGAAGAAGCAGATCGGGAAGGCAGAGTGCTGCATCCTGGTGTTAAGGAGTCTTGGTGGCAGGGAGATACGAGCCCATATAACCTATCATTATTGATTTTTTTGCTGCGGCCATCATTGTCAATATCATGTGCATTGGAAGAACTTTTTGCAGTGAGTGGTGCTTCCCAAGGAACTCCTGGATTTTGGCGATATGCAGGCTATTGAGCATCAAGAATCGTATGACATGAGTGTACTCTGACTTCCTCAACCAGGTACAGGAGAGGCAGAGCTTCACTCTGAAGCTGAGTAGCCCCACCTTCGAGCGGGACCGCACTGCAGCGGCAGACGCAGCGGATGAGCAAATGGCTGTAAGCCGCTTGGGTGAAGCTGGTTTGCTCCGTTTGTCGGCAACGTCGGCCAAAGGTGATTCCGGCTCTTAGGGTTTAGGGTTTAGCTGAAGAAACCTCGCTTGAGTCAAGCGTGACTTTGAGGCTACGACTTCATCTGGCAGCTACGCAGCTCGACGGGCCGGCTGATGACCCCGCAAGCAGAGGGACCACCATACCTCACTATCACGCCCGTGCACGGCGTGGCCACGCAAGATGGCGAGACTGTCAGGGCCCCTGCCCATCCTGAGAACATGAGGTGAAAGCCAGGATGACAGTAATTAGCAGTGCTACTGTTTGCTCATGATTGTGAATGTGAACAGCAACAGTGACAATGCTTCCTTTGTGATAGCGCCAGCAGTACCGGCAAAGGTGATCACCATCGAGTATACACCCACTGATGCTCACAAGCTGGACGGTGCTTCCCTTCGAATGCTCATCCCCTCAGGCGGGTTTCTGTATAGTTGTGTGTGTACCTACCCAGATGAAGCATGGTTATAAGGCACTGTATGAATGCATACATGTGGTGTTTGGGTCTGAGGCCCGGATGACGCCAGCTACACCCTGGGCCTGGCAGGGCGCGCATACAGGTGGGACAGGCTTAATTGTTTGATGACAAGAACTGATTGTTTACGTGTTCGTACATAAAAATAATGCCGGGACTTTTGGAGCACTGAAAATCAAATGCAGGCCGATGTTGGACTTCTCCACTCAGAACTATGACTTCGGATCCTGCTTCGTCAAGCGTCGCATGGCTACTGATGTTCGTGTACAGCGGCAGGTGTATTTGACTAAGGGATTCCACAGCAGGAGGCTAAGCTCCAACCATGCAAAGGCCCCAAAGGCCCGGACCTCAAACTATACAGAACCCTTCAAGTAGAAGACGGATTCCCACAGCTGATCCTGATAGTAGGAGAAATGCTGCCAAGAGAGGGACCAGAAGCAAGAGCTCTAGCAGCTCCAGGCACTGCGGCCAGTGCGGGTGAGCCATCTCAGGGAAAGACGCCTATGGAGCGATTGGACTTGACGGTGACAAATCGAGGCCTTTCAGGGAGTTTCCAACAATGTGGGGCTCTGATTTTTTGATAGGCGAGTGGCAATGTCTTACGGAATCTTATTCTGAAAGGCTCCCGCATCCTCACCGCTCTCCAACATGACACGGTACTCCAAGAAGATTCTTTTCTGAGAAACATTTCAGATGGCTTTGAGGTTTGGAAGCCCTTCATGTGACGGGTGCTCGCCTGCAGGGCGTAGTTTTGCGATGTTTTGCGTAGGATCGCGTAGATCCGCGTAGTCTGCGTCATCTGACTAACAAAAGCTGCGCAGATTGTGGCGCAGGCCAGGTCCAATGCGTAGTCAGTTTGAGTAGCATGAGTGAATTCACGTAGCCCACTATCCTGCTGCTGCAGGGGAACCAGTGCTGGCGCATAGTCTGCGTAGGCCTCCTTGTTAGCATAAGAGAATGAGAAATGAACACAGGAAATCTGAATAATGCTCAAGCGATGGTTTATATTTCATGTAGTTTGCCTGGGCCATAGTAGTCGAAGAGGCTGCCCTGGGGGTTGTTGCGGCCTAGTCTGCAAATGAAGCTCACGTCATGTGCCCCGATCAATCAAGTTTTCTTTGGAGGCATGACGGACTGCTGGCTCTCCACCACATTCCAGCGAACGAGCTACCTTGACGTGCAGCTGCCGGCATCCATGGTGGAAGCCGGATCGTGTGGCGCTCAGCACTTATTCAGTCAATATTCGATTTCCGATGCCTTTCTATTTTTAGTATTATTGCTGCTGCTGCTGATCTTGTGGTTTCTGCTCATCACCATGTGCATTCCTGAGTCTTCGTCCCCGAGCAACTGATGACTCAGGTCTGTTGTGGTGCCAGTCATCTTTACTCCAAAAGACTATGTTGACTATCGGGAGTGCAGCCCGGCTGAGACATGGGCCGAAAGTTCTGCGGCTCACCAACACGCTGAGCCACATAGGGTGGTTGAAAACTATGATCCTGGGCGGTGCTGCAGGCATTGAGTTTGTGGTCAACGACTGCACCAAGTACTATGTGAACTTACGAGGCCATGCAATCCATGTACAGCGCCAGTGCCAAGTGGTCTTTTGCGCCATCGTTCAGGTCAGGGGTGCCCGCTTCAGCTAGAAGCAGCATCGCTGGCCATGCAGAACGTTGACTTCGGCGCAGCCGTTGGCAACACAGGCCTTGACATGAATGCAACGCGCCCGACACTTCCTGTCCTGGCAGGTGTCACCCGGAGCCTGCGGGTCGTGAACCGGTCCGTTCGGCCGGTGGAATTCTCGCTTCAAGATGCAGATGGAAAACTGGCCGAGAAATGCATCTCCTGGTCGCCTACGCAGCCGGTGAAGCTCAGGCCTGCAGGATGTCGTCACCATAAGCACCCACTCTACGACTTTACAGGTTGAGTGTTCCGCCCTGAGGCCTAAGGAGCAGACCTCGTTCGAGCTGCGGTACAAGCCATCCTTCCCGATGCCGGTCTTTAAGCTGCCGCTTGTGGCCAGTTGCACCTCGGCAGAAATGTACTGGCCTTTTCAGGTCATGTTGGGGGTTATATTGGAATTCTTGGGGTATATATATATATACATAAAGGGTAATTTTGGGATGATGGAAAACAAAATGGAAACTACTGCTTGAGGCAACTTTGGCATTGACATGCACATATGTCACGTCACCGGCAGCTGCCATGCGGCAGAAGTTCGCCTGTCGGAGCGACTCGCCTGCAAAAGTAATTTTGCCGAGGGCACCGGCAATTACAAACGTACTTGTCCCTATAAACACAGTTGGGGTCACCCTATTTTGGGAAACTACCATATATAGTACGATTGCAGATAAACACAGTCTTCATCTAATTTTCGATTTTCTAGTCTGTTATTTGATTCTCCACTATTGGGGTAATACCCTCATATACTGCCTATATACCCTACATGTGGTAGCTTCCATTTTATTTTCCGCCTGATTCCCCATTCATGGGAATAACATCGCTGTATGACCTCTGTAATGAATGACTTATATACCCTGGTGGTTTCCATAATCTTTCCATTTCCAAATGCAGCTGCACCAGCAGCCCTGGAACAACACATGGGGATACTGCAGAAGAAAATGGACACTACTACAGAAGGACAAACATGTTTGCAGGCATTCCCTTCTTTTCGGCGATGTGGTGTTCGATGCCACGAGCACCAAACGGGTTCATCTCCACAATTTCGGAGACCTGGGAGTGAAGTTCCGGTTCGACACCCCTCCAAAGTTGCAGAACACGTTCTCCGTGGAGCCAGCAGAGGCAAAGGGGGCCGAATGTGCTTGCAGGCCTTCATGCCTTGAACTTTCTTTTTGCCGTGAGGGCTATGCAGCTCCTCGAGACGACGTTCTCCTGCAGGTAAAGTTCCACCCGCAGAGGCTCGGCATCTTCACAGTGATCTCCCTCTTTCGTAAATCTGCGAACTGAACCTGGAAGGACTGGTGGATCGGATTCCCAGCCTAAACGGCTGCGATGCCTTCTGGAGCCGCCGTACCAACAGGCCATGCAAGCTTGACAATGCAGATTTGTTTGCTGACAGACGCGCATGCTACTGCAGGAGCCGATTGAGCTCATAGTGCAGGGCAATGGCATTGAACAGCCCGATGGGTCGACATTGCAGCTGCAATTTGCAGCGGAAGTGTGCCTTGCCCTGCATCTGGTGATGTTGCTCATAGACGCTGCTTCTGTCCAGTGGCGAAGTGTTATTCCAAGGCGTGAGCGCAAGACGCAGGAGACTCCAGGCTGCAAGCGCGCACTTTGAGCTTAAAGTTCTGCATGAAGCTGGCACTAGGGCGTCGTTCATGGCTATGGTGGCCTAAGACGGATCTACGAAACCTTTGGCTGCCTTACTTGATGCCAAGGATTTCCTTCCCACCAACAGGGAAAAACACCAGCAGCGAACCATGGAAGGTGGGGCGAGAAGCACGTAATTAGCACGTGTAAACGGAGAAGGGCGGGGTGTGAAGAGTCAGAGTGATATGCATACCTTTGGCAGGGTATGCTTACCCTCTGGACTTTGGACTGACTGTTGACTCAGCTTTGCCATGTTGCCTCCCTTAACAAAAAGCAGAGTGATGCTTTGAAGAATCGCCGCCGAATGCATCATGGGCAGCTAGGCTTCAAACATTACAATGCGGCCTGCGCCACAAGCTCCAGTAAACAGCTCCTGCAGAATGAGCAGGGCTGCTTTACGTGAACAACTCTGCTGTGTGCATGCCAGTGCCAGGTTCGGCCTGTGATCAGCACGGAGGTGCCTGCGGGTGAGACATTCTTTTCCTGTCCTGGGGAGCACGGAGCTTGGAGGGACTCAAATTTTAGGACTTGTACATTTTGCTTGGGTCTTCCTTATGAGCAGTACGTGAGAGGGCCCCACTGTGACATGATGAAGCTTTGCATTGGTGTTGCTCAGGATAACAGTTCCTGCCGGAGGGCAGGCCAGCATTCCCGTTACCTATCGGCCCCTCACCATGACACGGACCGGCGATGTGGAGGCATCGACGCCAAAATGTTATGCTTGTTTGCAGTAGGGCCGTGGCCCCCGTTTGGTGCTCGGCAGGCTGATGATGATGCATCCCCGACGAAGGGCAAGAAGAAGGATCCAACACCAGAGAAGCTTGTAGCAATAAGATCCCCAAAGCACAAGCAGCCCCCAAAACCTCTCATGAACTTCAGGCAAGTCGAAGGAGAAACAGAACAGCCAATGTTGGGGGTTTGTATTGGATCCTTGCTTGGCGGCCGATCAGGGTATCTCAACATCCTGGGGCTCGTCCAAGGCCCTTAGAGTTCGGAGGTCGGGCGTCAATTGGGTTCATGAGTGGATTCAATAAAGTTCCCCTGCTGTAAGGAAGCATAGTGGTCGGCTTTTCGCTGCGACTCCAGATGGGAGCGCATTTGTTTGGGCACTGGAAGGACTGCGGATGCTCTAACCTCATCCATGTTGCCTTTGCGCAGACTTGCTCGGCCGGTTGTTGATTGTCACATGTGGTCGGCGTAGAAACCCGCAAGCGTCTCTCAAGCTTATAGCGTTGGCAGATGGCCATGCTGTGGCAGGCGTGTCGAATCCTCCTGGCCAAGACAAGAAGCTCACCGCGGAGGTACAGTGCAAGACCCCGCATGTCCAGCCTCTTGGCTGTACACCGAGCTTTCAACCATGGAGCTTTCGTCATTCGATTGTGTTCATTGAGAGTGTACAGAAGCCTAGTGGTCGGCAGACTGACGCACTCGAAGAGCAGCTGACAGCACACACACTTTTACAGTAGCAGAGCTGTCGTGACCTGAAATTATGTTCCAGTCTATGGTCAGAAGGAGCGTTCCGCTGACAAACTGGCTACAGCAGAACCAGCGCTTCCATGTGGAGATTACTCTTGTGCAGCCGCCGGAAGCTACAGAGGACCTGTATGAAGCGAGCACTCTCCCGCAGTAGGAAGAAGGAGGGCTTTGCGGGGTGCAAATACGGACGTGTAGCAGCAACACCTGAAACGAATATGCTACGTGATACGTTCTGTGTTTGATGTGCGGGCACAGGAGATAAAGCTGAATGGCATTGGCACCTTCGATGTGGCACCCTTGGATGGCAGCTGCATCAGTCTAAGCATGGCTTTGTTCTGCGCCATGCGCCTAAGCCACACTCAAGGTGCCTTCAGGCCAAGCAAAGGACTACAAGTTCAACGTTTACGCCTACAGAGAGGGTGCTGCTGTCGTTCGAGTTGTATTCACCAACCCGAAGACTGAAGCTCGTCCCTGCATTGTACTGCTCCGCTAAAATGCGGCATTCAGCGCAGAACCTTACAACCATCAACTGCAATGAGTCAAGGAAGAGTTCGTGGGATACGAGATTAGCTTCAAGTTTGTTGCCCCGAACTCGATTGACACGTTGCGCTTCAGCACGGTCTGCCGCCAAGTGGCTACCCGATCCATCTCGGCCGGGGGCTAAGAACTGCAGCGCTACGGAGTCACTACGGCAAACTCGGCTCTGCCTGCCTTGTTGGAAGCCAGGTCATGAACCCACTCTCCTCCATCGCCAAGTTCAAGTGCCAGGCAACGCACCAGGACCTTCGCTTCTCGCAGACCGAGTTCTCTGCGCCCGGCCTGAAGTAGGGGTGGGGAAGGCAGGGGTGCAGGGAGAGATTCGAAGACCATCCTGCGCCAGAGGTTGCGCCGAACTCCGAAGCAACTGTGGACGTACTGTTCCGGCCAGTCATTGTCGGAACAGGTGAGGCAAAGCTGTCACTGAGCCACTTGCCCTGTTGGTTCCGGATTCACACGCAGCAGAAATTGCGCTGTGGCTGAGTGCTTGTTAGTTCACATTTGCCATGTTCTGAGTGGCGGCGTGTCCAGTTCCCAGCCTGCTGAGGTTCTCCAGAGCTTGGCGATTTTCCGTGCTGCGGCTGCAAGGGCTGGAGGATGTAAGCCACGACGGATTCATACTATGCTCTGAGGGCGCCTGTGACCTTTGTTGACCCCTGCAGCCACCATCTGATCAGTACAGACCTGAACACGCCTCTTGGGGAACACCTGAATCCCCTAGGCAAAATGCTGGCAGCCCTGCTTTCCATCGCAGCCTGCTGCAGGGCATGCTGTGCCTGTGTCACCCTGTCTAGCTGTTGCCCAGCTGAGGTACACGGTGGAGTATACTGCAAAGCCAGCAGGCTCATGAGCTCCACCAGTGCAGCGGTGTTGATGCAGTTGCAATTTAAGATACGTGGCACAGTTGAAGCAGATGACTGATAACTGACCAAGAAGACAAGAGGCCTCGACAAGACGATCGTGTTCAAAGCGCCTTTGGGATCCATGGACTCGATACAACCTTTCCGGTTGCTTGGACGGGGTATTGCATTGCTGCAAGGAGAATAAGCATAAGCAGAAGGTAACCCCAATGTAACTCCAATACAACCCCAATACAACTCCCATATAACCCCAATAGGTCCCCTATTTAACCCCTAATCCCCACATTGATAAGCGGGGCTGATTTCCAAAAGCACCTCCAGGGAGCTTTAGCTCCACCCAGGTTCTGGCACTACGCGCAGAAAGCTACAACCTTCACCGCAAGCATCGAAGCAGCACCAGGTGCGCTCCCTCACATAAAGCTCCCATGAGACCCTGCAGGATGTATACAGCGTGTAAACAGGTTCTGCATTTTTGGGCTATTGTGCATCTTCATCTACTGGAACATGTCTATCCTTGTTTGGACTGTTTGTTATCACGGGGACTGTGTGTGTAGCATCCGGACAAGACTGCGAGGCCAAAAATCAGTGAGCTCGGATTTTGCGCCCGAGATCAAGGCCTGGATGAATTTGTGGAGAGCTACACAGCTACACCTTCGGAAATCTTTTGCGAAGTACAACACTTGATTCCTCGCCTGGGGTCTCGGCACTTGCGGTGTCATCATTTTGGGGAGTATGAGTTTATGGGATACCCCCATTTACATTGGTGGGCCAGTGGAGTCCGGTTCAAACCTTGGCGATAGGTTTCGGCATGTGCGTTACATGCCAGAGATGAGAGCCGATCTTTGTAGGCTACTGACCTTCTCAGTCAGCAGAGGAGCACCCACATGTATAGATCACCTTCCTAGCCATTCTTCAAACAGGAGACACGGGTTAGATCGGCGAACATAGCACAGCAATAATGATAACAATGACAATGACAATGCAGTAATGCCAGCAATCATATGATGAGGATGATGATGACGATAATCATGACGATGACGATCATGATGACGATGATGAACGTGAGCAGAATGATGATAATGATAGTAAAGATTCTTGCATGCATCATGGGGCATCTGGCTGCAGGAAGTCAAAGTTGAGGCTGCTGGACCGGATGGCCACGAAGTCTCCGTAAATGCAACTGGACTGCATGTTGCTCAGAGTTTTCGTCTAGTCCATTGGCTTTCCTAAGGATTCTCAGTCCATGTTTGGGGTTTGTGGAATAAAGACCTCAAGAGAGGGAGCCTAATTTTAAGAGATGCTCTCCTGAGCATGAGATGCACGACGACCTTGACCTCCGCCGTAGAAATGGCAGTATCTGAGGAAATGTATGCTCAGGCTAGGAAAGAGGGAGGTGCGCTACTGAACGCAGCTTGAGAATTAAGTGTATCATCACCAATCCCGTGTAAAATCTGCGCCAGCCGTTATGAAGCTTCGTGAATGTCCTAGAGCCCTTGGAGCATTCCTCAGCAACACTCCCCGGCACACGACATCACATCCAGGTCAGATTCCAGCCTTCTGAGCTTGGTGAGATCCGGGGGCTGCTAGTCCTCAACTCCTCAGATGGCGGGGAGTACAAGGCAGAGCCCTGGGTTTTCCAAAACTCTTGCGAACAGATGATCGCAATTTAAGTTTCATATGGCGTGGGGTGCAATTGCTGTTGTGCATCGGAGGGTTCAGGGCACGGGTTTTCGGAAAAGAGTATGAACTAGCTTCCCGAATTTCCTTCGGGAGGTTGGATACTTTGAGAGGAAGAAGACATCCAACCGATCTAATGAGACCATGAGACTGCCCTTCATCCCAGGCTTGATGTGGAGACACCTAAGCAATACTCGACCTAATTGAATCACCCTTGGCAGATGCTGACCAACCTAAAGTAGCGCATTTTGCCGCCACAAGCAAGCTTGTTTGGATACTGTCTGGCTTCCAGCCTCGCACTTCCAGTTGCAAGGCCCTTCTTATGGGCTACGCGCAGCCGCCGCAACCGCAGGGACCCGTCGATGTCCCGAAGGCCTGAGACAATGTTTGAGTTCCACCCCAGCATCTGCAGAGCGGGAGTACATAGGGATCACACGGGACATTCCGGTTGAGATTCGCGCTGGACAAGCTTCGTCGCGTTGCGGTGGTGTTCCTCCAGCACCCATCCCCGCTGGCAAGGGGAAGCCGACCAATGTGGAGTTCCAGAATCCTTTCATGGAGCCGGTGGAGTTTTCCTTGCAGGCCACTTTGGTGAGTTTTGGGCAAGGCTTCACTTACACACTTGACCCCTACATACCTACAGCCTGAGAAAAGCCATGGCATGCATGGTAACAGGTGGACAATCCCAGCTTCCAGCTAACGCAGCGCGCCGTAAAGCTGGATCCAAAGAAGACTGCCCGGGGCCTAAGAACATGATTTGTTCTGATATTGCAGTTTCTGCATTAACTTGTCGTGGCCCTAGCATGTATTGTATCCAGACTACAGACTACAGATTCTAAACTGAATCTCCCAACTGTTTCTGTGCACTTCTTTGCATCCGGAGGGGGGTCTTGGGAAAAAGCCGTGCAGAAGTTGCCAGAAGTTCCCCACACCCTCAGCAATTCATCTGCATCAGCCGCAGAGACTCTGACAGGTCCCGATCCCCGTCTCTTTCACGGGCGACAAAGCCCAGGGCGGTCGCCTACTGGTCAGCGCTGGCCGGGTTTCCACCCCATGGGCCCGAGCCTTACATTTTCTCAGAGAGAGAAAATGCCTGAAAAGATTCTGTTCTGGTGACGGCGATGCCGCATCTTGGGGGCTCCTAACTGAGGGTTCCTCACTTACATCAGAGGGGTCCCCATCTGAATGGAAACAAACAAATCTGGGCTCGGGGTGGCCAACGCAGCCATCAGCAGCAAAAGATGGCATTTTGTCTCTCGAGAAGCATGCTTTAATTTTTGGCATGCTTGGCTCCTCACTCCTGACGTGGGAGAGTAAGATTCAAGGCAATTTTGTATACACAATCTTCGACAGACATCCTTCTTTTCAAGAGGGCACCTCGTAGACCAACCAAGGCAAGCTGTCCGATCTTGTGGGATGCTAATTGCCACGGGTAACAAATCAAAAGCCGGGGCATCAACAAGCTGTAGTTTTTTCGTGCAGTAGGTGTTGGGCAGCGATTCAAATTGCTCAGGTGATCTTCCTCCAAGGCGTTCCGTGAGTAGTTCTTGCAGCTTTACGTTGCAGAGCAGATAGTTAGGATCCTAGACACCTTTCATGCTTATGTACGTTCTTGTGCTATGATTGATCAGGGTGTGTTGCGACTTCGCTGACTGCGCAGTTAGAAGTGCAAATTGTGGAGCGTGCGAGCGATGCCGTTTGAACAAATTATGAATTTTGTGGTCCTTTGGAAACCTCGAGGGGCCGCACTTTAGCTAGTATGCAGCGCGCTGTACAGCATGGTGCTGCCCCGAATTTGTGTGTGAGACACTGAATCCAAAACCGGATAGGAAGTCGTCTCACCAGCAGGCCGCGACGCATGCAGAGTGCCGTGACAAGCGCGAATGCACAGAGGAAAACATACCACCTCCTGAAGAATGCCTCCTCATCCTCCCCCATTGGGGTGTGAGGAGGTTTGCTGCAAGGGGGATGCTCATGACATCTCATGACTGCTAGTCAGGAGCTTGTGCAAATAGATATGCGTTCCTGTGTAAGAGCCCCTTTGTTTGCACACTGCCACTGACCTGAGAAAATGCTGGTGTTTATGCGCAGAGGTACCCGAAATTCAGAAGGCTTTGCTGCAGCTCTTCAAAGAGGCGTGCTCCCTAAATGGATTGCGCAAAGCATGACAAGAATATTGACAGTAGCAGTTAAAATTGCCGTAGAAATCCGGCGGCTACCTGATTTGAGCTGAAGGCGCTGTAGTATCCACTGCAATGCTTCGAGGTGAGAGGCCAGCTTGAGGAGAGTGAGCTACCGCAAGGCAAGGTGCTCAGATGGGAAGCCACTGTCAGAAGCTTCGAGAAGCACTCCTTGAAGTAGCCCCTTAACCCCTTCTTTACTTTCAGGTCCTGCAAGATCAGTACATTGCCAGTACAAGTGGACAAGCGGCAGCAGCACGGCTTTACCGCTCCGAAAACTTCTTAAGCGTGGTAGCCTGGATACAGCTGACTGCTCGTCGTTGCCCAGGGCCTGCTGTGCAGGCTTTGCTCGTAAGTCAGGGGCTGGCAAAGTCGGAAACCCAGACTTCCATGTACTTGGGTATTGTTGCAGCTTGTCTCCCTTCCCCTCACCTGACGAGTAATGCCATGTACTGCCCACATGTACCTCCTCGTAAACGGATGTCATGTCAGTACAGCATGATGCTGTGGGGTTGCTGCTCTTGTTAAAGTTCTCCTGGTTGGGGAGCGGTGGCCTGTGTTGTGCACCACTTGTTTGAAAATTCGCCGCTGTCCTGCGGTTCAAGCTAAGAGCTTGAGGTAGTTAGATCCTTGCACACGATGTAATCTGATCACACCTCTGTTTTGCATGGCAGCCAGTCCGGTGCAAGTGGTAGAATGCTAATCAGCACGTGCCAACCAGACCAAACTAAACACCAAAAGCCGATGCCGACAGTCCTTGGTGCACCTGTGAGGCACCATGTGTACATCTATAATCATCTATACATGTATGTAGCTCGGCATTCGGGCCCCCATGCAGATCGCAGTGCTATGGGCATTCCAGAAGCCGAATTCTTGCACCCAGAGTCAATCTCCGAGACTTTGAAGTGCCCAGTGGCATGGTGTGCATTTTCAGGTGAGTGGGCCATAGTGGACGCTGCATTTGCGTTCAGCCCCCTGGCCATTGCACAAGCACGCTGCTCAAGGTATGCTTCGAAGTGTTCGAGGATCCGGTCTTCTGCGGCGGCCGGCCGTGCCAGCACGTTTTCTGCCGAACCTGCGTGGAACAATCCTTGGTCGCCGAGTCCTCCAACACGCAGTCGAGCTCAGAACCTGGCCTAAGATCGGGTGCTGAACATAAAAAAGAAACACATTTGGGCGGTCATCTTGTCGCGAAGCACTTAGGCGCCGGAGGGCTCTGGGCGCAGCGGGCACTGCCCCAGTTGCCGCGCGAGGATTGGCGTGGAGGATCTGCAGCCTCACCAGGAGCTTGGGGGGGCAAGCTGCAGGTTTGCGCAAGCTCACACAAGCATGATGCATCAGCTTTACTTCGTTGCCTGTGTGTGTATGTAGATTATAGGCGCTGCGCAGCTTGTTGGACGAGCTTCCGGTCTGCTGCCGGCGTGGATGTGGTTGGACAGGCTAGCAGGGCATGACGCGAAACGCTTTCTTCCTTCTGTGTGCCAACAGCGTCGTAAACCCGTCGGCTCTGTATGCTGCACTCTCGGTAGCACAAGAAACAATCAGTGCCACCAGGGTACTGCACGCAAAGTCAGTCCTCTTGTCAAGCGCTGTTTTCCATCCACAAGCGTCGTTGCCTGCAACTCAAGAGGGCCCCTCTGGAACCGAAAGGAATTGCGATCTCGCAGGTTCCAAAGGGATTGCTGTTCACATGGAGCTGTTCTCTCACATGACTGTCTGTGCACAACACGCAAGCACTGCAGCACTAACATGTCTTAGACATGACCGACAATGCAGTGACAGCATGCCATTGACATAGGAGGAAAATCAAAAGTTTAAATACCCCATTGAGTGCAGGGGAAGACAGACTATCGATCATGACGCAATCTTGAGAATTGAACTCACAAGACAACCCTGGGATGCCAGCAAAGATGAACAGAAAGAAGAGGCGGTCTTCGGGTAGAAGCTCATCTCGAGCAGTCGTCGCAAGGAGTGAGCCTCTTGATCGTCCTGTGCCCTCTGATATGTCCACAGTTGGAGTTCAGATGGTATCGGTGGCCTGTTGCCGTCACGAAGAGCTCGCGTGGGTTCTCTTGAAGCACAACTTGGTTCTGGAGATCTCTCAGCTGCTGCTCCAGCTCGAGAACTCGGTTGTTACTTTCGGAAAGAGAGGCTCGCAGTCTCTCTGCCTCAGCACGGACTCGGTCACCAACCAAACCAAGACGGTGGCACTCTCCGTTCCTGCGGATCAACTCGTCCCTCAGGCGCTCTGCCTCCGGGTTTGTCATGTCTCGTGCTTGAACTTGAGCGTCTCGAGTGGAGCTGGTTGCTTGGTTTGAACTCGACGTAGAGGAAGCCGTCGTGGAAGAGGTAGCTGAGAAGGTCCAAGTAGTTCTCCTTGCCACACAAAGCCACAGCACGATCATGAAGACCATGACCAGGAGAGCCAGAATGGCAGCAAACCAGCGGTGGTCCACTACCAAGACGACTGTGACCTCGTCAGAGTCGCCCAGGCCTTCCGCACTCTCGAACTGGCTCGCCAGCACGGTCGCCGCCACAATCGCTCGAGCTCTCTCGGTGTCGCCGCCCAAGCTCTTGTAGTAGTGGCGTCGAGAACAGAAGCGCTGTCCAAGTTCAGGGTGCGGTACTTCTTTGTCACAACCTTGAAGTCGGCAACGGACAGAGAGCTCCAGGGCCAGGGTCTCCTCGCCTTCACCTTCTCCGCGAAGACGTCGTGGGGCTGCTGGAACTTGTCCGTCTCGTAGCTGTCGAGCTGCTTGTTCCAACTCCTCGACCTCAGCTTGCTTGGCCTCAGGCTTGATCTTCTTTGCTGCAACCATGCCCTCGTCGAACTTCAGAGAAACCATACCACGGGCAAAAGCTTCCAGACACAGAGCTCGTGCGCTGGCTTTGGTAAGTCCATCTGCCAGTTGCTGGGAGCTGTTGCACCACTTCCAGTGGCCTCCCATGGCCTTGAGCCTCTCGTTGGTGCCGGAAAGCTCGATGGCGCTGCGCCTCTCAGACAACTTCAGGCCCGCCGACATGCTGTTGGCGGCGTAGTAGAGAGACTTTGCATCTGTCACAACGAAACTTCCAAACATCCTAGCCAGCTCGTCGCTCTGAGGGTCAGCGTTCGGAAAGAGCATCAGGTGCCAACACGCCTTCGCCCACTCAAGGCGTGCCGGAACGGCCTCTTCGGGTTGCGCAGAGGAACTGTCAGCTGGTTCCCAAGCGTGGTTCAGAATCCATGGCTTCAGAGCGTCCTCCTTTGCCACGTCAAAGAGAGCTTGTTCTTCAGCGCGGCTGAGGTTTCGGTCGTGGACTTCCGTCGCGACCAGCAAAGCGTCGTCCTCCTCATCGACATCGGGCATCGTCCGTGCGTTGCTCGCCATCGTGGTGGTAGTCTGCGAGGTGATCGGAGGAAGACCTTCCAGTCGTCTCGCCTTGTTCACCCCCTCGAGAACCTGAGAGCTCGTAAACTTCAGTGGACTTCGTGACCTGTCGCGGGCTGCTGCACGTGGTTCGACTTGAGGTTCTGTACGTGGTTCGGCTTGAGGTTCTGTACGTGGTTCGACTTGAGGTTCTGCAGGTAGTTCGAGGTTCTGAAGGTGGTATACTCCTCGTGCTGGTAGTGCTTGAGGTTGGTCCACCGCCATAGGAGCCGAAGAATCGGGATCATCGTTCGCCTGGCCAAGCTTGTCCAAGTAGTCATCCAGCTCCCACGGTTCATCTCCTGCTTCAATCGTGTTTGGTGCTCTTCCTGCCGCTCACGGTCTTTCCGACGAGCCTTTCAACCCGGCCGCTGGCGACCACGACGCGCAGGCAGCGAACCAACAAGCACGACTCTTGGCAGCTAAAGCGTTCCACGAGGCCAATTCTGACCAAGCCCTACGCGCTTCTGTTCTTGCACGAGGCCGTCCAGATCCAGCTTCTTTCAGTGTCGGGCTCCGGACAACAAAGGCGGCAAGCTCAACCCTGCAGGCAGATGGCGAGGACCAGCCTTGGTGTGTGCCATTGAGGAGTGCGCCAACAAGCAGGATGTCATTTGGGTGGCCCACGGCACCAGCCTGGTGCGTGCTGCGCCTGAGCAACTTCGTGCTGAGCTACCTTCTGAGCGTGCCCACCGCCTCCTCCAGCCTCCTGCCAGTGAGGCGACCGTGCCGGTCATGGATCAAGTTCGAGCGGCCCTTCGACCAGTCCGTGCACCAGTTCGTTCTTTGGATTTGCTCACCGGTTCTTCACTTGCGTTGCTCTGCAGCGTAGTTGATGGCCTTGTCCACGTCCAGGCTGAAGTCCTCGGTGTGCATTTTGGCCAGCATGGCTCGTCGTGCTGCGTGGGCACGCTCCATGCTGCCCAACTTGTAGTGCGCATCGTGGGGCACCACAACCAAACGGATTCCACGACAATCAGCCCAGGAAAGAAAAGCCTCGCTCATGTCGCTGCCACTGGCGTCCGTCTTGATGCAGGCAGGAGTGCCTGCCCAGCGGATCCATGCGCTTTCGATCAAGGCAATCTCGGTGTCAGGCTGTTCGTGTCGGGCACGAGCAAGTTGTTCGAATCTCAAGAATTGGTCCATCAGGGCCAGCGCTGAGTGTTTAGCCCCATGCCATCGTATGAAGAAGGAGTCCACGAGGAGGACCTGGTTGAAGGTGGTCGTGGTGTTCAGAGATCCTGGCCTTGCCAAAGAGGAGGAGTGCTGCTCACAAACTTGTGCTCCCTGGCCGCCTGCAGCATTTTGCCGCCGAGTCTGCTCGAGCGAACGGCTTCCTGAAGTCGGTCTCGGCCGGGATGTCCAAGCTGCTTGTGGAGCTTGGCAATGGTCAGGACATTGGCGTGTCCCATCTTTCGGATGAGGTCGCGGTTGAGTGCCTCGACCGCGTGCTGTCCATCGGGGGACAACCTTCAGATCGTCCATCACCATGATGGCCGCAGCTTGTCGCCTCGCCCAAGCTTCTTCCAAATCACGTTGGATCGCCATCGAAGCCTTGTTCACGAAGCCGGGCTCATAGTTTTGCATGTCCTTCAGGGCATTCGACTTGCCAATCATCTGGACATGGGGGCCTCGACGCAAACGCTCAAGGTTCATGGCGCGGAACAAGTTGACGGAAGTAGTCCTGAGCAGGGTCTGCTTTCGAACCGGACCCCACGCACCAAACTCATCCATAGCAGTGAGGCCAGTGCGGCATCGGTCCACCACAGCTTCGAAGATGCCATCGCCCTGCAGCTTCCTCGTACACGAACTTGAGGGTTCTCTTCATGGCCTTGCGTCGACTTCGGAGAAGTTCTTGCTTCTGGGCTTCGGTGCGGCGCGCCAGTTTCTGCGTAGGGGTCCACAAAGTGCACGGAGGAGCCATCCAGATGTGCGAAGGCATGATGTCCTTGAGGAGAAGCTTGAAGGAACTTTGGGCTTCATCGCTTTCCAGGTCCCACTCTGGCAACCCGAAAGTAGACACAGTCGTTCCCGGCAAAGACGCCGTGCGATGACTTAAATTTCCCACATACAATTCCCAATAGGCCTTGCCCCTATTGGATTGATTGAAGTAGATTGCCTCTTTGGCGCTTCGAATTGCTGCCTGAATCTCGCTCTCGTCGATCTCCACCTCGGTCTTGTCCGCCTCGTCCGCCTTGCCGTCGTTGTCGTCGGGCGGCTCGCCGGGGTTGAGAATGAGCGGCGTCTCCACATAGATTTCTTCAGGAGCGTCCTGGAACAAGACCTGATCGCCGTCGGAGTCCACGAGCTGGAGAAGAAAGTGGCCGTTCGAAGTCCGAAAGGGAGTGATCCACTGATCACAGTCAAGCAGCCTCATCTTGCCGGAGGCGAAGTCCTGGACAACCTTCCACTGGATCGGGCGCGAAAGGAGAAGAGGAGTACTGCCAGGGATCACAGAAGCGGCAATGGTCACATCATGGCCGAAGATCTAGGTCTCGAAGGCAACCTCCACAGTCGATCGGACAACCGACCCATCTCCAAAACAGAAATCTCTGGTCGCCTTTTTCGCCGAAGTCTCCTTGCCCTGGCGCTTCAGAAGAAGGAGCCATCTCTTCCAGACCTCCTCGCCGATGAGGTTCTTCGTGGCCCCGCTGTCCATAATAGCATAGCCGGTCTGCACCTCATTGAAGAAGACGTTCTCCACGTGGTTGCCGGCATTGATGTGGACTTGACAGGCCTCATCGCCAAGGACTTGCTCCTTGCCGGTGTCGCCATCGGGGACGTCCTCGACCATGTTCGCTTCCTCGGCGGGCTTGCTCGCAACATCCTGGAGGCGGTATCGCTTGAAGCGCGGGCCGTGGAAGTAGACCCAGATCCAGTTGACTTGTTAAAGTCTGAGCTCGGACCTGCATGGTTCGAAGCAGTGTCCCTTCGCAATCCAGAAGCGGGCCTTCGGGAGAAAGCAAACTTTCTGAAGCCTCCTTTGTCGCCTCCTTTTCCTTTGCCCTTGCCTTTGCCTTTTGCGCGCCCCTTTCCTTTTGACTTGCCCTTGCCATAAGACTTGCCGAGATCCGAGCCGAAGTCTGAGGGAGGAACCGCAATCACAGGAAAGAAACCTCTCGACAAGGCAATCTCCTTCATCTTCTGCCGAGAGTCGACGTAGTTGATGTAAGCATCCTCCATCTCTTCGGCTTGCTCGACCTCCGAGGCGTCTTCATCCGCAATGGGTTCGTGCTCCGCGTAGTGGTCCGCGTAGTACGCATCGTCGTCCCGCCAGAGGTGGTCCTGGTAATCGTCGGCCTCGTCGCAGAAGTAGGCGTCGTCGTACTCGTCGACCACATAGGCACTCTCGTGGCCACCGGAGCTGCGGAAGAGATCTTTCGCATTGGGCTAGTATTGGGCTTGTGATCGCCGCCGAACATCTTGAGCAGAGCTTGCGCCACCTTCTGGTATGAAAGGACTCCACCGTACAAGCTCTTGACCTGAAGATGCGTCCACTTGGGCACCCCAGCTCTCGCCAAAAGATGCCAACCTGCAAGAAGATCAGGGACTTCGACCTTGACCTCCAGCATCTTCTTTCGAAACGTCGCATGCCTAATGAAGTAGGCCTGCATCTCCTCACCCTTCATGCGGCTGAACTCCTGAAATTCTTCACAACGAGAAGGAAGCTCAACATGCTCTTCGTACTGGTAGAGCCTGTCCGAGAGCATAAGGATCGGCCTGAAGGCGTCGGAGTCCGCTTCGATGTCGTCAATGTTCAGCTGCTCGGCTGCCTCCCAAGCTGAATCCTGAAGGAGGGACAGAGTGAGGGAAGCACCCTCCACAGCAACGTTCGAGCCTCTCCTGCTGCACTGCTTCGAGAAAAGGAGAAGCCGTCGCCGATAGGATCGGTAGCTCTTTGAATCCAGTTTGTCCGCAGAAGGCGCGGCCTTGGCCAAACCACTATCCAGCCCTCGCTGGAACGAAGCTTGTCCACCACCGTTTGCTTGAGCATCGCCGTCTGCTGCCGCACTGGATCCGCCGCCACCTTTTCCAGACATGTCCCTCGGAGCCTGGGACCCGGCAGCTAGAGCCCGCAGGCTCCGCTACCAATCTCGGTAGCACAAGAAGCAATCAGTGCCACCAGGGTACTGCACGCGAAGTCAGTCCTGTTGTCAAGCGCTGTTTTCCATCCACAAGCGTCGTTGCCTGCAACTCAAGAGGGCCCCTCTGGAACCGAAAAGAATTGCGATCTCGCAGGTTCCAAAGGGATTGCTGTTCACATGGAGCTGTTCTCTCACATGACTGTCTGTGCACAACACGCAAGCACTGCAGCACTAACATGTCTTAGACATGACCGACAATGCAGTGGCAGCATGCCATTGACATGCACATGTTTCGCCATCGTTTCAGGGCGTGGCTTCTTGGAGGAATTCAATACTCCGTGCGCTGGAACAATTTGGGGGGTCCTGCCACCCCACGCCCCGCCAGAATAAGAAATTGAGGGCGCCAGATTAAAAGAATGATTAGGGCTCCTGGAACTCAAGTACAAAAGAATAGGAATGCATTCCTGCGTCATTGGGGCTCTTGGGCCTTTAATTAAAAGATGAGTAGGAATGTATTGAATATCTCTATTATCAGGATTGATTCCCCAACAATTTCTTTACATGTACGCCCTGCTCCCCATACGAAAAGCCACCTGATTGTAGGTACTCTTTGGAGCCTAATTCTGCACCCAAAAAATCTTGAAATATGGTCCTTTTTATTGTTCCAGAGCTCGGATTAGGCTGCTTTGTACTCTTCAGGCCGCCGCGATGCCCGCTCATCGCACGAGTCCCCTGGGCCCAACCAATGCATCCTCCTGCGTCTCGATGCAGCGCAGGCGGCTGCGCGGGTTCGCGGCTTGCGGGAGGGATCTTTATGAGCCTCGGAGAGAGCCAGAGAGCAGTAAGCAGGCCGAGATCGCATACCTCAGCGAGGCCGGACGGCTCCAGGATGGCTTTCTCTTTCGAGTCTTAGAGAGGGCTACCGAAGTGAGGAGAGGCTTCACGCTTACAGAGATTTCGTGTGAAGCGGTCACAGGGAACATGTTTCAAATTGAAATGGGAGCTGCCCCCGGGGGTGATTTTACGATTCGGAGGCGTGGCAGAGGACACATTTGGAGTCTTGCTCCGGCTGGGTTGAGTGAATGCAGGCGCAAATCTATTTCCTCCTCCCCAATCTTGATATGCTTTCACCCCTCACATAGCGAAAGCACCTTGCATCTATCTTTCCACACAATGAGATCTTTCTTGCCACATGCATTCCGGCCTGAGCACTG